ATGGCCTTGAACCCACCCAGTGTTGCAAGAGCCTGAGAGCTTCAGGCCGAGTGTGAGACAGCCTCATAACTGTCTACTTGGAGAGCGACCCCAACTGCAGAGCAAGAAAGGAAGGTAGGGGGGAGGCTTACATACCTTCCAGTGTTGGCTGGAGAAGAACTTGGGATTAGGCAGTTTCCCCATACGGGCGCAACACGTGGGTCCTGCCCAAAAGAATTCGACCCAAGCCTTCTTTAAGCCAAAGACAAGGTTTACTAGAACACCCATCATATTGGGCAGGCTCTTAAGGAGGCTGAACATGAGTAGCTGTTCTCTCTTTCCCTGTAACCTCCATGAAGGAGGATTCAGAGGTACAGAGGGAAAGGAGTAAGTAAGCCTTAGAGAACCAAAAAGCAACCGCAGTTTTCCCCCAATTCCCTAGCCGAGGGAATTAACAGAATTTAGCGTACACTTTCAGAGAGGGTGTCCATCCTTGTCCTCTATGCTGCAGAAGGTGTACAAAGGTCCATGGCCTTGAACCGAGCCGGTGGACCGAGAGCTTGAGAGCATCAGGCCGAGTGAGAGACAGCCTTGTAACTGTCTGCCAGAAAAGCACTTCCAAGCCTTGTGTGCTTGGAGAGCGACCCCAGCTGCAGAGCAAGAAAGGAGGGGAGGGAGGAGGCTTACATACCTTCCAGTGCTGGCTGGAGAAGAATTTGGGGTTAGGCAGTTTCCCTGTACGGGCCATCAAAATGAACATGCAGGTCCTGCCCGAAAGAATTTGATCCAAGCCTTCTTTCAGCCAAGGACAAGGTTTATTAGAACATTGTCATATTGGGCAGACTCTTAAGGAGTCTGAACGTGAGTAAGCAGTGGCTAGATTATAAGAATCCCAGCAGTGGCTAGATTTTAAGAATCTAAGCATCTCAATAGAGACAAGATGGACCTTACATACAGAAAGACTGTGGGAGGGACCTATGAGTGGCCAGTAAACTGGGGTGAACAGAACTCCTGGGACCTGGACCTAGTGGCCAAGGGAGAATGGAGCCTAACTAGGATTAAGGGTGGGAAATGGGGGGCCATAGGGAGGTAAGACAATGGAGGGGAGATTGGGGTAGCCACAATGAAAGGCCAGTTGATGGGATTATATCCTCAGGCAAACGTCAGAGATTTGGCCATGTGGGAAAGTCCAGGGCTTTTCCTTTCCGGGGCCCAGATCCCAACCCCATCAGCTTGAGGGAGGATCAGGCTTAAGAGGTCTTTTTCCAGACTAGGGATTCTGGAGTATGCTGTAAAACCCACAGAAAGCAGTAAGTGGAGACAAGGCAAGAAAACAGTCTGTCTGGAAGTCAGGAAGACCTACATCCAGGTGCCTCCTCTGACATACTTGCTGTGAAATCTTAGGCTAGTCAGTTAATCTCTCCAGTGTTCCAGAAGCAGAGCAGATGTCCATCTTCATTGGATAGGAGTCTCCTCAGCTATAGGATATCTGACTTCTCTACCAAGTCCCAGGAACCTCATCCTGCTGTAAGATCTCATCAGCCTTGGGACTTGAGAGCATCACTGCTCTCTGCCTTTTTTTTTTTTTTCTTTTTGGTAAGGCAGTTGGGGTTGAGTGACTTGCCCAGTGTCACACAGCTAGTAAGTGTCAAGTGTCTGAGGTTGGATTTGAACTCTGGTCCTCCTGACTTCAAGGCTGGAGCTCTATCTACTGCGCCACCTAGCTGCCCCACTGCTCTCTGCCTGATTGGAAGATGAGGCCATAATTCCAAATCTCTAGTTAAGGAGAGAGCCCAGCTCAGACATGTCCTTATTTCACACCCAGCTGCATTACTTTGGGACTTCTCTGACTGCCTTTTCCACTGTGCCCCAGTGGGAGTATCTTCTCCTTCCTTCTTCCTACCTCTAGCCTTGCTTTTCAGGTCCCTTTTGTTTGTTCTCTTTCTCCATTGGATAGTAAGCTCCTTGAGGACAGGAACTGTCATTTTTTTTTTTTTTTGTATTTGTATCCCCAGGGCTTAACCCAGTTCTTGGTACCTAGTAGACCCCTATTAAATTTTTATTGAGTGAACTGACTCTGAGTCCTCCACGCCTCTCCCCCAGGGGAAAAAAAAGGTTCTAGAACAGAGGTGGGGAACCTGTGGCCTTGAGGGCATAAATGGCCCTCTAGGTCCTCAAGTGCAGCCCTTTGAGTCAAAGGGTTCCCCAGCCCTGATCTAGAACATCCAGTTAACATTAAAGAGGAAATAATAACTGCTCTGACAGTTATTATGGGTGTGACCTTATGCCAGGTACTAACAATAACAATAGCTAGCATTTCTATAGTGCTTTCAGGTTTGTCAGTAAGCATTTGTTAAGCACCAAGGGCATGCCAGTGTCAACCTCCAGAGTTTGGTCTAAGAAAGACAGATTTAGGTTGTATTCCAATTTATTTCTCATTTCTCTCAAAGCAGGTGGGCATGCATATGAATGCAGGAGAGCAGCAGTCAGCAACTGAGTTCACTTTTGGGGGTCAGGCTGCACAGTTCATATATCCTTCCAATCCTCGCTGCTACTGAAGTCTAGAGGCTTAGGGGTGCTGGGACCCTGAGACACATGGGCCATGCCTGAATGAATTCAACCCAAATCTTCTTTCAGCCAGAAAAAAAGTTTATTAGAGATAAACCATACAGGCCAGACTTAAGGAATCTGAATATTAGTGACGCCTGTAGGGACAAGAGGGCGTGAGAAAATCTCAGCGTTTAAATGGGGGCTAGGGTGGATCTTATATATACTAAAGTAACTTTGGGTGATCAGAGGAGGGCCTGGGAAGAGGGTCTGGGTGACTCAGGGACAATTTGGATTGGAATGTCTGAGAGATTGAATAGACAATGGAAATAGATAATGAAGGGAACTGGAAGGAAGAAGTTTGAAAGGCAAAAAGTGGGGCTAGGGCTTTCAAAGGGAGATAAGAAGAAAAGTTTAAAGGTTTTCTGGGGCTTGTAGACAAATGGGAGCCAGATTCCCTTTGACGCAAGGCGCAAAGGTCTCAGCTTGGTCTCACACCCCATCACTATCACTCCATCATCATGGAAAAAAAATCATCATGGACCTGAAAAAAAAATCTCTATTATCAGACACCCCCCCCCCCCCCAGCTATATCAGACCACTCTCAGCATTGGGCCATCTAGGCAAAAGAATCTGTCTCCATCCAAATTTGAGCAGAACACAATGGGTTTCCCAACTTTAGATTAAATTCCATGCAAGCTTGGGTTGGGGCGGACCAGGAGTCAATGCAATCTGTCAGTAATGACCTGAAGAAAAATCAAACTTAAAGTCAGGACTTTGGGAGAAGGGGGTTGGGGGAAGCTCTGATTCTCCCCAATATATTTGTTATTAATAATCATTTTTTCACACCAGGTACTGTGCTAAAGCTGGGAGTACAAGGAAAGGCAAAAAACAACCCTTGCCCTGGAAGAGCTCACAGTCTAATTAAGAGAACAATACACATATAGCTCTGTGCAAACAAGCTACATATAGTATAAAAGAGAAATAATTTAATCCAGGGAAGGCACTAAAATTAAGAGGGATTGGGAAAGGCTTCCTGTAGAAGGTGGGATTTTAGCTAGGACTCAAGGAAGCCAGGGAAGCTATGAGGTGAAGATGAGGAAGACAGCATTCCAAGCCTGGAAGACATGTGGTGAAAGTGCCAAGAAGATGGGGTTTCTTTTTAGAGAAAAAGAGGACTGCAAAGATCTTTACAGATCCAGTGTGTCCTAGAAATCTTAGTGCAGATTTAAACTTTAATAACTTAAGTATGAATGCTACAACCTTACCAAAAAAACCTGAAAGGTAATTTAAAATGTAAAATAATGTTTCTTATTAAAATTGAACATAAACATTCTTGTGCTATACATTGATCTAGTCGATTTTCCAACTTTGTATTAACTTTTCAATATTTTTTTTGCTCAGTGACTGAAAGGATTGCATTTATAATTTTAGTCTTAAGATCACCCATACAAGGTTTTGATGTATATACGAGTTTTTTTCTTTCTTTCTATTTCTATTCTAAAGATTCATTTAACAAAATTTTGAGTTCCAAATTCCCTCCCTCCCGCCCCTCCCCTAGTCATTGAGAAGGCAAGCAACATAATCAACTATACACGTTAAGTATTGCAACACATATTTCCACTTTAGCTATCATACAGGACAGTTTTGACACGACCCCTCTAGTAAAAAAAAAAATAAGGCTAAAGGAGATAGATCAAGCACCCGAGGCGGCCAGTCAAAAGGACCTCCTGTACCCAACTACCAGTCTGATAAAATGTTATACAGCAACTGTCACACATGCGAAAATGCATAATGACTAGGTGACCTGTCTTATTTAAATAAAAATTCATCATTCAAAATGCACAGAACCAAATAAGTTTGAAAGAAATTTAAGTAGCTAAACTTTCAAATGAGGTGGGTTGGGTTTTTTTGTAAATTCATATGAATTTACATTATTTAAGTTATTAAATTAACTTATTATTGTTATTAATATTACATTAAGTTATTAAAACTTAAACTGCACTAAGACTTTTGGAACACGCAAAAGTTTCGCAGCACCATCAGTCTAGACCTGGCAGGGATTTTAGAGCTCTCCTCCATTCCCTTCAACTTCAGCCTTTAATAAGTGAGGACACTAAAGCTGGGCGGCTGTGATTTGCCCAGGGTCACAAGGATTGCGTCCAGCCGAGGCAGCATTTGAACCCAAAGCATCAGCCTCCAGAATCAATGCTCTTTTCTGAGACTGTTGACTCATCTAAGTAGGGGTAGGCGTAGACTAAGGTCCCTACCGGTTCTGACGGTGAATAACATCCTGCAGCTGGTACCCCGGGGCGCCAGCCTTGCCTGGAAGCTCCCAGGTCACTTTCACGGTTCTGCTCCCCCCAGCTTCTTCCCCTTTTCCTCCCCACGAGGGGCGGGGAGGTGAGGAGGGCTGCGCGCGCCCGGCGAGGGGGGCGGGGCCTTTGCTTCTCCTTCTTCTTCCTTCCTACTTTAGCAGCCTTAGACGGAGAGACTTCGGAGACTTTGCAGTCGAGCGCCGAGCAGTCGATCGCCCTTGCTCTTAGTTGCTCTCTGCCTCGCCTGGCGGGTGGCTCTTCGAGCAGCTGTGTAAGTGGAACGCAGGCCTGTGCGTGCGCGCGGGCGGCGCTGCTGCTGCTGCATCATAGCGGGCGTGGGAGTGGGGAGGCGTAGGGGTGCGGTTCTCAGCATCTCTCCATTTCCACCCTCCCCCCACTCCCAAGTCTTTCTTCCAAGGGGTGATGGATGAAGGCAGGAAAACCTACATTCCCCATTTATGCACATCTGCCCATGTCTCTCCACGTGGGGGCTGCTGTCCTGCTTTCTCCCCTTTGCAGTCCTCCTTGCGGGTCCGCAGTGAGGGTCGCGCGTGAACCCGAGTGGGCTGTGTGGGAGGCGATCCCGAGACTCCCCAGCCACCGCACCCCACCCGGCATCAGCCTTCAGGGCTTTTCCGTTTAACGTAGCAAAGAGAAAGTCTAACCAAGCTATTTCATTTTGTTTTATGTTTTTAAGGCAGAAGCCAATAGTCTGACATGGAGCATATCTTTACCCCGCTGGAATGCCTGCTTCCCACTGGTACTGTGCTTGTTGTTTCCCTGTTTTATAAAGTCATTGATTCGTCCCCAGACGTTTACTCGGGTAGTCACGGTGGTAGCAAGCACATCGGACCACTTGCGTTTGAGGTTTAGTGGACAGATTTACTCCCTATGATTGCAACAATTTGGGGGATAGACGGCAAAGCAAAATAACAGCTTGAAAGCATATTCCGAAGACGTTTATACACAGGCATCTGTTGGTGTGCAAGTAAAGTTTTTACAAAGATTGAAACAGGGTTTCGAATTCAGCACGTGGAATATTGCACCTGAGCTCGTGAAAACTCAGCAGGCTGCAGTCTCCTTGAACGGGCTTTTTTTTTAGACTTTGATTTTATATGTTTAAAAATGTCAGCTATGGGAAATGGCATTTTTTATTGGAGAGTTTTAGGAATAATGGCACAGATTGCTGATTGGCTTTTGACTTTTGAAACAGCATTTGGCATCGTTTCAAGGATGCCTTAGAGCCAACTTCAGTATCTATTAATATATGGAAAAAAATTCCAGTGACTGAATCCCTAGGCAGGAAATCTTATTTTATAAAACATGCCAATATGCACTTACAGCAAGTAATTTTTATGGTTCCTTGCTCCTAATTCCAAAAAAGCTTTGTTTGAAGTTTTTGGGCAGACTTGTCTGTTTTTGTAAACCATTTCAGCACCATAGTTCAGTTGTTTGTGAAAATTAAGGTAGTTTACTTTGTAATGCTAAAAATTGTTGGACTTTACCAGCCAGAAATGTGACCAAGATTACCCTTGTAAACAGTTTGGTGCTCTTCAATATGCTCCATTTCTAAACATTTTTTATTTTTCTAAGCACTCTGTTTACCATGGTTTAAACTGGACAGAGCTTTTACAGTAAACAAAGTAAATCACCTTTTCTGCCAAAATTCTGAAGCTTTTCTTCTTCTAAGTAGGAATTGATGTTTGCAGCTTAATGAATGCTAATTCTTGCTTATCCCTTTCTTGTATACTTGTGCACTTTCTATTTCCTTAGTTACATAAATCTAAATATTTTGGGGGCGCTGTTTTAAAAATGTTTATTTTCCATCTTCTGGGTTTTTTTGTAAGCAAATTGAATCTTGGTAATCTTTTAGTGACCAAAGTGCTTGGCCAAAACTTATCTTTGAATATTTTCATCCAGTCAGTGATTTTTTTTTTTTTATTTTAGGCAATTGGGGTTAAGTGACTTGCCTAGGGTCACACAGCTAGTAAGTGTCAAGTGTTTGGTCTGATGCCAGATTTGAACTGCAGTCCTCCTGACTTAAGGGCCAGTGATTTATCCACTGTGCCACCTAGCTGCACCAGTCAGTGATTTTTCAAGGAGTACTTGAACTTTTAGTCATTTTCACCAGCTGCACGCTTATGTTCCCAGTTGGTCAGGAAGAGTGCTGATGTGTATTACTTAATCTTAGGGAAACGATGAAATGTGTAAATGCAGAGAATAACAATACAATATAAGTTTCTCTGGCTTCATTATCAGTCTTCTAGAATCAAGATTGGCTATTTCATTGATCTGAATTCTGATGTCTTTTAGTATTGTTTCCTTTGTGTTATTGTGGCCAGTTTGTATATTATTCTCTTGATTCTGCTTTTTTCTCTCTGTATGAGACCACACAAGTCTTTCCATGTTTCTCTGAATACCTGCCATTCATTTCTTACAGTGCAGTCATATGCCATAATTTGTTCAGATATTTCCCAAATGATGAATACCGAACTTATGTGATATATATCACGTAACCATGTATACTACTTTTGCTACTACAAAAGTCTATTGGTTTAATTCTAGTGGAATGTATTGGCAATGTGTAGTCAGGGACTCAAAAGCCTAAACATATAAGTGTTAACCATTTACATTGTTAGGTGTTCATTGGTAATGCATAAACATGAATCAACTCTGCTTGGGATTGACTCTGGGATCCTTCAGAACATAGCATGAAAGGAGAGCTTGGACATTCCTGTAGGAGTCAGAATACAGTCAATCACAAGGTTAGAGTTATACTGCCTTTGGTCCAAGGTTGTTGGGAGGCCTATAGAGCAGAGTCTTATGAGGGGATCTTTAGAATGATGAAAAGATTAAAACAGAGCCAAGAATGGGTTTCTGAATATAAGAAATAGGGAATTGAGAATTAACTTCATAAAAGAACTACTTGATCCAGTATATCACCATTGCCTTTTAACTATAGTGTCTAAAATCATTTTTGGTTTGGATTTTTTTTTTTAAGTAGCCAGTACAATATTTAGCCTGCCAGTGCTGGACAGTGTTAGTTAACCTTTTCTTAGGATATTTCTAGAGTGAATATTACCCTCAAGAACCTTTCTGTCTACCTGTGGTAGATGATGGAATGAGGGGACCTGGACCCCTAAAAATCGTGTCTTTGAAAGCAACCTAGTCCCTGAATTTTCCCATACATTTAAGCAGCCCAGATCATTGGAACCTCCCCCCTCCCAACCTCCAGCCACCTGGCCCACCCTGATCACCTAATTAGCCTACTTTATATTCGTTTCACTGTTGCACCTGGCTCGCCCCAGACTCTTAATCCCTCAAAGATCCTTTCACTTTCTATCTGCCTCATCCTCATTAATTTGCAGATTTACTAAGAACTTCCACCCACTCCTACTGGCATTAAAAATCAACCTTGCCACTTGACTGAAAGTTTGTGTGTGTGAATTCATTCTAGGCCACTCCTCCTTGCATCCTGACCTTGTAGACTAAAAGGTCAGTACCCTTGTTTGGTGTAGATAAGGCCGGGAGATTGTTTTCCTTAGTCTTCTAGTTTGCAAGCTGAACTCAGGGGTAGGAACTTTATATCCCCCCTCATCATTTAGCACTAGACCTTATACATAATATGCCTTTGATAACTACTTTTAAACTTGAATTTCTGCTACATTCTTGAAAGCTATTGGGCAATAGTTACCTCAGTCCGTTTAATTTTTAAGTATTGAGAAGATACAGGGGGGAAACCTGAGCTGTTTACCTGTGTAAACAATATAGGAACAATTGGTACCTACCTTACTCTATCCTAAGGTCTTTGGAGATAATATATCTTCTCTTAGTTCCTTACCTGAGAGATCCAATAAGGTCTTTAAAAATTCCTGTGATAACTGGGGCCCATTTTTAGGTGTATTGAAAGTCTGTACTATTTAAAAAATTGGACTGCAAGCCTAAAAGGAATCTACAAAGATTTGTGTTGTGCCATCAGTAACATAATTGAAGGTCATACTTTGTTTTTATTAGTCCTTTGGCTGATTATTTCCCTTTTCCACTTCAGAAATATATTATTGTTAACTTGTAGATTGATTTCAGCATTAGAAGGGACCCCAGGGTCGTCTAATCCAACTGTAACTTGAAGCCCTTCTATAATATCCAGCCTTTCCTTGAAGTCTTCCATTACAAGAGAGATTTATTACCCTCTACTCCAAGGTTGCCTGTTCTCCTTTTACTGTCAGAATGTAAGCACCTTGAGGCCAGGAACTGTTTTAATTTTTCTTTCTACCTCCAGGGTCTACCATAATGTTGGGTTCTTGTTAGGTGTTCAATAAATTGGCTGATTGATTGTTTTGCATCAGTTTTTGTGGTTTGTGAAGTGTTTATATTGAGAAGTCTTTGTATTGTGAAATCTGCTTTCCTATACCTTCTACTATTGTCTGAAGTTCTGTTCTCCGTGTCTATGCAGAACAAAAATGTGAGCCATCTCTCGTATATGATATTGAAATATGTGAAGACGTCAATCATGATCTCTCTCCTGTTCCCAGTCTTTTCTTCTCCAGCTTAAGCAATTCTTTAAAATGGTTCTTTTAAACCAGACATGATTTCTAGGACTTGTACTGCCCTGGTCTCCTTTGCGGATATACTATAACTTCTCAGTGTCTCCCCTAAATTCTGGCGTCTAGAATAGGAAAAGGTTTTCCACTATGGTCTGACCTGGGCAGAGTGTGCTAGACAATCACCTTCATTTTGGGCCCTAAGCTTTTGTTAATTTAGTCTAAAATCTCATTTGTTGTTTTGACTGTTACATATTACATTATTGATTCATATTAAGTTTATATTCTGGGGCAGCTAGGTGGCACAGCAGATAGAGTACTGGCTCTGAAGTGAGGAGGATCTGAGTTCAAATTTGGCCTCAGACCAAACACTTGACATTTATTAGCTGTGTGATCCTGGGCAAGTCACTTAACCCCAATTGCCTAAAAAAAAAAAAAGTTTATATTCTACTAAAACCCTTTCTTAGGTCAGATCTGGCCTCAAACACTTACTAGCTATGTGACCCTGGGCAAGTCACTTAAATGTGTTTGCCTCAGTTTCCTCATCTGTAAAACAATCTGGAGAAGGAAATGGCAAACCACTCCAGTATCTTTGCCAGGAAAACCTTAAAGGGGTCACAAAGAGTTTGGGCATAACTGAAAAGACTGAACAATAACAAAAAACATGATTGACTGTTCAGCCCCATGCTGTACTTAATAACTAATTAAAAACAAACAATTTTTTTTGGGTGGGACTTTACATTTGTGCTTATTAACTCTTAACTTATTACATGACCAGATATCCTCTTCAGATTGGTTAAGTGACTTGCCCAGGGTCGCTCAGCTAGTATGTGCCAAAGACTTCTGCCTTGGGTTGAACTTGAGTTGGCTGGCTTTCTATCCACTCTGCACCACTACCTCTCTGAGAATACAAAACCAAAAATGAAGTAATCCGTGCCCTGAAAAATCCGAAGTTTGTAACCTCTTGTTCTGGCTTCTCTTGTCTCCCTAACCACACTCAAGTTAATGATTAGTCATTTCAAAATGGGCTCTTCTGTGTCCTTGAATTTTCTCCATCCCTGTTAAACTCCCTGTCTCTGGTAATGAATCTCACCATTCACCTACTTGACTCTTCTTCTTGACCAGCCAAGTATGAAATAATAAAACAGTCTTTATTGGACCCACTACACCTTTGTGCTGTTTATCTTCAATTGGGCCCTCACTTCTGAAATCATGATAA